CTCAGCTCAGCAGCACACTGGCTTCTGGCCAGGATGGCTTGTCTGTGTGGTACGTAGGTGCTATTACCTTGCTCTGCAGACGGGCTGATGCTGTTAGCAAGGCTGGAAGTTCCACATAAAACTGTCTTTGGCTTTATGTTCCCATAGCTGTATTCAACACAAGTGCAGCACCAGAACACAACACAACAGGTACACTAAACACTCTGTGTGCTGTTGTGTTTCTTTGATTAATTCTTAGAGTGCCAGATAGCTCTGGTGATCCTGGGCTGTGGGGTTTTAGCCGCTGCAGGTTAACGCTGTTGGTGAAAGTAGTGTGTTGCTTCTGACCCTGAATTCTTGCCCCTATCAACCCACCATTCTCCAGTTGTGTAAATTCATCCAAATACAGGAGGCTGGAAGTGTGTGCAAAAAGCAAAGAAGAGGAACCTGTGAGTGGTTTGGTATATTCTTCCTGCTTGGAGGAATGCTACTGTTAGGTGAACTTATTTTAGGAACTGGAGGAAAATGTAAAAGCTACCTTGGCCTCCTCCCTAGCAGTTGTGCATTCTCTTCTATGCTTCTATGCTTCTTCTATGCTGTAAGGCTTTCAAGACCAGATGAGGTAACACCCTGAGCTGGCCCTGCTTTGAGTGGAAAGTTGGACCATGGACCTCCTGATATCCCTTCCAGCATAAATGCTTGTCTCATTTATGTTTCTGAGAATCTGCTACTGCATGTCCATGTGCACATGTATGTTCCAGTTCTGGTAATAACATCACCTCGGAGCACTGGAGCTACATGATGTGTTGTTTTCTCTTGGCAAGGACTGAGTGAGATGAAAGTGGAAATAAGCGTTAATAAAATCTCCCCTTTCAGGTTTCCCTGTTACCAGTGCACTTCAGCTCTAGGAAGAAATTAGTTCAGTGATACCTATTACAAACCTTATGGGTTTGTTTTTTTTTTTTTATGATATAAATGCTGATTAGCTTTCAAAGGGGAGAAGACGGGGCAAAGATTATAGAGAAATCAAGAGCTAGAGATGAATGTAGGTAGAACCAGAGGAGGTAAATGGAAGCCTTATCTTTATGCAAGAGAGAAAAGCAGTGTTTCTATTCATAGAAAGTTACTGCCTCTAATGTGGGTAGAAAAGAGTTTCTTCCTTTAAAAAGAATAATCTGGAAGGATGTCTCTCTTTAAGTCTTGATCATGGGCCATACTCTTATTAGAAATCTGTGTCCTCACTATAAAAATGTTCTTATGGTATAAATGTATGCATATATTTAAATTTGGGCACTCAATTAATATGAGAAGAATCTTATAATAGGTTAAGTTGGCATTATCTTACCATAACGGGTTGTGAAAAATACTCAAGTCTCTTTACCTTAACCAGCTACCAAGAAAGCATATGGCTTTGTGCCCTACTCTGAGGCTAATTCTGGTTTAGCAAGAACTACACTTTTCTTTCAAAATCCCGTTTGGAAGGGGCATGCACTTTCTTGGCTTTCTGATGCTTTTTGGGAACTGAGCTGAATTTAAAATATATGTTGTGCTGTGAAGATTTTCCTGTGCTGAGGAGATGGAGAAGACTTAGTGGAATTTGTGTTCTCAAGACTGCAGGGCTTGTAAACAGTCTTGTCCAACTGAACCCTGAGCAAATGTGTACTTATGAGGGCTTTGCACTGTGAGAACTGAATTGGTGGCTGCAAAAGTAGGGAGCTTCTGTTGTTATTCTTCTGTTCTTCACTTTGCCTACTGTATTTGCAGTTTTCTTGCTCTAATTTTTATTTTCAATTGCATTTCTGTGGTAGAGAAGAACAGCTCTGTTCAGCTTCTGTAGAAGATTTTATACTCCGATGACATCAGGTCAGTGCATATGGTATTAGCAGAAAGAATGATGACTAATGTGACATCATGTGGGTCAATTTTCCTTCTTGCCCTTTACAAATAAAAAATGTGTGCAATGTAGCATAGTATCTGTATATTGCTCTGTATTTACTGTGGCAAGAACCTTTTTGGAGGTGTTCATTCCCCCATCTCAGATCAGCCCCAGCTCTCTTTTTCTGACCACATGAATGGGCACATTTCTTGTCAGACATGTACAAGAACTTGGTGCTGGCAAAGGCTGCTTGCTTTCCTCCCCCACGTCAGAGCTTAGAGAGTGCACTGCTCCTTGCAGTGGGCTGCAGCATGTATGTAAATGGCTTTTTGTCAGTCTGTTTTCTCTGTGTGACATCTCCCACGATAAACACCCTCATACAGGCTGTGCTAGGATTGCTCTTGCAGTTTGATTAGATTCTGCATGTGTTTGAATGTCAGCAGATTGTACAGGATTTCTTTCAGGGCTGTCCTGGTTTGAGCCTGGTTTGAACACACTGTTGCTAGTTACAAGAAAGCTTACTGAAGGAAAAAAAAATCAGTAAAAAGAAAAATTGTCTTCATCCTGGCTCAAACCAGGACAAGGGCCCACCTTGCACTGAAGGGGATGGTGACTCTGAAATGCAACACTTAAAATTTATTTTCAATTAAGGGGAAAGACTGGAAATTCAGAGGTAGATAAAACTGAGACAGAGCCAAGAAGAATATTTGTTCTAGCTTCAGTGCTGAATGATTTATTTTTCTGTATAGAGAGTTAACATCCTCTTTTCCCTGCCATTACATTGCAACAGGGTTAGGAAATAGAGGCTTTGAAATATTAGGGAAACAACCGGTGATATAAAGCCAGAGACTTCACACATGGACTGGAAGACAAAATCTGTTACATGTTGGATGCTATACAAGGTGTATGTCAATAGAAAGGAGAGAAATGGGCATTGGTTAAAAACAGCAAAATTACCATCATCCCTGTTCCCCATCACTGTCGGTTTGAAATTCACTCCCCTTACTCTACTCTGGTCTGAATTTTCAAAGGTGAAAGGTGAGGAACACACATGTACCTTCAAACTATAGTTCCTTGAGGGAATGTGCCATGCGCCTCTGACTTGGGAGAGTGAGGAGCCACCTCCCAAGCTTGTACCAGAGTCCTATCAAGCCTGACCTTGAATGTCTCCAGGGATGGGGCCTTCATCACCTCTCTAGGCAATCCATTCCGGTGATCCACTGCCCTCATATTAAATACATTTTCCTAAATGTCCAACCTAAATCTACCCTTTTCTAGCTTTAAACCTTTACCCCTTGTCCTGTCATTACATGCCCTAGTGAACAGGTCTTCCCCAGCCTCCTTATAGGCCCCTTTCAGGTATTGGAAGGTTGCTCTAAGGTCCCCCCCGAATCTTCTCTTCTTCAGGCTGAACAACCCCAACTCCCTCAGCCTGTCTTCATAAGAGAGGTGCTCCAGCCTTCTGATCATTTTTGTTGCCCTCCTCTGGACATGCTTCAACAGGTCCTCGTCCTTCTTGTGTTGGGGACACCAGAGCTGGATGCAGTACTCCAGGTGAGGTCTCACCAGGGCAGAGAAGAGGGGCAGAATCACCTCTCTTGATCTCCTGGCCACACTTCTTTTGATACAGCCCAGGATGGAGTTGGCCTTCTGGGCTGCAACTGCACATTGGTGGCTCATGTCCAGCTTTTGACCCACTAGTACCCCCAGGTCTTTTTCCACAAGGCTGCTCTCTAGCATGTCTTCCCCCAGCCTGTATTCTTATCTCTGGTTGCCCTGGCTCAGGTGCAGGACCCTGCATTTGGTCTTGTTGAACTTCATGGTGTTCACCTGGGCCCATTTCTCCATCTTGTCCAGGTCCCTCTGGATGGCATCCTGTCCCTCTGGCATATCTACTGTACAATCCAGCTTGGTGTCATTGGCAAATTTGCTGAGGGTGTTCTCCATGCCACTGTCAATATCATTAATGAAGATATTAAACAACAATGGCCCCAGTACGGACCCCTGAGGGACACCACTGGTCGCTGTTTTCCATCTGGACATCAAGCCATCGACCACAACCCTCTGGATGTGACCGTCCAGTCAATTCCTTATCCACTGAACAATCCACCTATCAAACCCATATCTCTTCAACTTAGAGAGAAGGATGTTGTGGGGGGTCCATGTCAGAGGCCTCGCAGAAATCCAGATAGATGACATCCATAAGTGTTCCCTTGTCCACTGATGTTTTTGTGTATGAAATTTTTGGGGAAGTATGTGCTTAACTTTTTGGAACCTGTGTTGGGCTACTGGGCTACTGTGCATTTGTATATGATGTAGAAGACCAGAGTTTCCAAGCAGTGGTGTATTGTAGAGATCTGGTGCGTCACTGATTAGAGTGGAACTGGTATGTGGATAGGCAACCTCTCCAAACAGGTTTAGAGACTAAAAATCATGCCGCAGTGTGATGCCAGACAAGGTTCTGATAATAATAGAATATACTAATGTAGGGACAATAGCTGTAGGTTTGCAGTTAACATGCTCTTAGTTTGTAAGAGGAGTTGGATAGTGATACAAGAAAAAGTTTGAGTAGTACAAAAAAACAGGGTTTTTTCATTTCTTAGGAAAAAGGGATGATATTGTGGTTAAGAGTCTCTTCTGCCTTGCCAAGAGCTTGCTGTGTGTCCATGTGCAAGTTGCGTGTGCTCAGATTTTCCAAGAAACCTCAGATTTTCCTGACTTTGTTTTGGTATCGTTTTCCAGTTTGTTTTTCTTTCTTCCCCTCAAAACTGCTGCTTACTGAAAGCTTCACTTGGAATAGTGAATGCTCAAAAATTTTCAAACCCAGTGTCAGGATATTTATGAAGCAGCACCCAAAATCTGTAGCCATCATGGGAGATGTAAGGTCTTAGTCTCTCTTCTTGATCATCCCTACCAGAGGGATTGTATATCCTTCATAAAATACTTGGAAGGCACTGTAGAAGCGTCTAGTGGCACTGTGTGTTAGAGCAGCATGACAAAAAGGCCTTGCGTTTGTGGGAAATATATTTTCCTGAAAGTCACTAAAGCAAGAGGGTAATTTCCCTGTCAGCTGGTAAATGAAGGAATAACACAGCCATGCTGCTGTTGGTGGGCTCCAGTTAACGAAGGTGTTGCTATTTTGCAGGTCTCTCACTCGAGCGCTCAACCAACTCCATTGCCTCTCGTGCTCGACTGTGTGAAAGGGAGGAGGAAGTCATGGCTTGTTTTGAGACAGCATGTGTCATTGCCCAGGTGTACTTGCAGGAGCTTGAAAAGGTAAGAAGAAATGTGCTCAAGGTGTTACCTGGTGGCCTGGCTAGAATCTCCAAGATTTTGACAGCAAAATGGCAGAGAAATGCCAAGTGATCATAAGCACTAACAAGTATGAGGAAGAGTTTGAAGGAGTGAGGTGCCTTGGTATAAGAAGTTGCAAAAAGCAGTTTATCTCGTTTCTCCCTGTTTCCTCTGAGAATGAAGTCTAGAAACCAGTTTGGCCTGTGGTAAAGCACTGAACACTTCAGATACAGTCAGGTTGTATCCAAATTTAGCTCTTGCTGAAGAGAGGTTACAAACTTTGCATAGCAAGTGCCAGCATGGAGGACCTGAGATATTTTCTGTACCTGCAGTGTAAATGATACACAGTAGTGGATATTGAGATGTCTAATAAGCTGAAAGTAACCTTTTTGGGTCAGCCATTTAACTGACAGTGTTTAACCTTCTCCAAGTGAAGCTGGAGGAGCCTGGATCATTAGTAGCAAGTAGCTGCTTAGTTGGCTAGGGTGCTGAGTATGCTGACTACTGTGAGCCCTCTGTTGAGCTGTAATATGTGCCACTAGTTTGCTGGGCACGTGCTTAGTGGTCTCTATCTCTGTAATTTTGCCTAGCTGAGTTTAACAGTGCACACCATGCACTTCCATGCCTGCCTTAGCCACACGTTATGCTAGACACTAGCAGCACTGGGGACAATGCATGTTACTTGTTCCTCTGTAGCTTCATGGCCTTTGATCTTCTGAATCAGGTATTTCTGCTCTTCTCAGCGGCAAAGATATGTGTGACAAGTTTTGCATGTAAGTGCATTAAACCAAGTAATTTTAGCTTAGTACATATATAAAAAATCATAAGGAAAGCCAGCTAACAACTCGTATGGTCTGTTTCTTTGTAGGGGAAAGCTGAGTAGCTTTTTTATTTAAAATCATATACTGTCCTTCCCTTGTGGGGAAGTTCCTGCCAGTACTGGGTACTGTAAAATTTTTTACTCACATCTTGTGTCTGTGAAGAAGAGAAAGAGTTTGAACTGTTTTTCATTCATCGCATGGACACAGAGACAAGGACACAGAATTACTGATAGACGTACTAGAAGTCTATAGGCCTTCTCCAGTCCTGGATGTAAAATGATGCTTTGGACTGTCCACACAGGGCAGCTTTCAGCAGTAAAATCTGTTTGTTGCCAGTAAAGAAGCAAAGGCAGGAAAGGTTTGACAGGACAAACAGAGGAAAGACTAAGATTGTGCCATTAGGATTCCTTATAGCTTGCTAACTCTTAAAAGACATTTATGTCATGTTAAGCTAGATATACCTACTCAAACATTGCATGAATATTTCTGTGCAAGATGCTCCATCTATGTGGTTGGAATAGTACTTCTGAAGCCCTTGTTACTAATGTGTAGCTTTCTAATTACTTTATTAAAGATCAGGAAGTAATAAAGGATACTTTTTAAAAGCACATTGCATGCAGAATATTTCATGTGAGTCCCTGTACAGTTCATTTTAAAGTTTACTTGGAAAGGGTTTTGAACAGCTAATGAAGGTAAGTGACTTACTCTTAGTTTGAACTTCCCTGCTTCCTGGAAGCAGCTCTTCAGAGTGCCTATGTGACTCATTTAAAGAGAGGGTAGGTGGATGCAGGTGTTAATAAAAATATATAATATCACTTTTTTTTGTCTCAGAACAGATGAAGGCTTATTTCTTTGTACATGTTCTGTTGTGACTTTTTTGCTATTGGCTCACTTCAGGTCCCTCCCCTCCTCCTGTTTGTCCCTCTGTCTGTTTTAAAGAGTACTAAGCCTCTTTTTCCAGACCTACAAGTAGAGTGGGTTAGAACAATTTTGTTGTCTTGACTCAGCTGTGTTTCCTGTGGAGACGAGAGGAGTTTGACCCTCAAGAGGGAGTGGAATATACACTGCTGTGTGCTTTTAAAGTGTGCAGCCACACAGCCTGGTTTGGTGAAGTCTTAAGGGTAGTTCCTTTCATTTATTTGTTTGTTTACTTAAGGTCTTAAATGTCCCAATCAAAACCCCAAATCTGTGTGGTTTTCCTAGAGTGAATGCATGCAGCAACAGTGCTTCTCCAGGGTATTTATTATGCCTCTGAAATACAGGTCCTGATGAACATTGGAAGGGCAAGAGGAGTTGGTATCTACAAGATAACAAATAATTTCACTCGAGGAAAACCTTTTCATGTACAATTAAAAAAGACATTGTAAATGCCCACTTCCAAAGGCCATCGGTAAGGGCACACTCTCCCCTGAAATATGCTGTGTTTTCAAAGCATAATCAACTCTGTTTAGCTGATGGAGATGCTGCCAGGTAGAGAGAGTCTCTCCTCATTGTGTGTAAACAGTACTTGTAAGAATCCATCCTTCCCTAGTCCTGTTCTTGCTCCATATTACGTTTGTTCTCAAGGCATTGGATACTGAATTTCTCACTGCTCTGTGTAGTATTACTGGTCTAAGTTTTATAAACGTTTTTAAGCAAACCATATTTGAAAGTTCTTAATTTCAGGTGATTTTTTTACTTCCAACTTCAGTCAAAGAAATTTTACCTCATTTTCCTCACTTTCCCTCTTTTTCATGTTGAGTAAAATGGAGAAGAAAGAAAAAAATGAGGGGACTTGAGAAGAAAAAAACTTGAAAAAAATTTTCACAGCAACTATCAGTTTAAATTCTTTTGTAGAAAGCTGATACATTTTTTTTTACTCTTGAGGAGGCCTTGCTTCTTGTTTAGGGCTTTCTTGCAAGGCTTTCTTCCCCTCCCCCAGGAGTGACTTTAAATGCAACTGTGAATAGCCTCTGTTCCTTATTCTTTCATTAAAAGCCTGAGTCTACAGCAAAGGTGTACTTGTAAGCATATACATGAGAGGTGCCTTCAGGTTAGTCTTCTTTAACCCAAAGGCTTACAAATATACAAACCCCAGATGTCATGAAATGAACCCTGTAGTCAGGTGGATACATGTTTATGTATAGAGAAAGTCTGTATCACCTTGGCAGCAGGTATGTGGTTTTCCTGGGTGAGGAGATGGTGGTTGACCAGCTGTGGCACAGCGTGTTCTTTACTAGCCTTTTGCTATTCTCATGGCAAGCAAAAAGCTCAGGTCTTGCTAGTAAACTCATTAACTATGTAATAAAATAAAATCTCATAACATACGGTGCTGATGTCTTCTAAGCACCTTTTGAGTGTCAAACTCAGTCGTGTTAATTTTATTCAGCAACATTTTAAACTCAGTCTTCATCAGTTAAATATATCCAGTGGCTTGTTTTAGCTACTACTGTAGGTCCTGCTTGCTCTCTTCCCTTGTTATTTTAATGACACCCTTTAAAAAAACCCCCAAAACACCACAACAAAATTCCTACAGAAAAACAATTTGGAATCAAAATACGTGTGTGAATTAAGCAGCACTTTGATTATAAGCCAAATAGATGCAACAGCAACAAAAGGCTGTCTGTAGCCATCTTCAGGTAAAGGAGCACCCTGGTGGGATGGTGCTCTGGTGGCTGAGACAGGAGCAGAGCCCCACATGCTCCTCACCTCCTCCAGTGCAAGTGAGAAACACCAGCCAGGGAAATGAAAGGTTCAGTGGGGGAGAAAGCTTGTCTCTGCATCCCCCTCCCCATAGCTGATATTAATGTGAGGTTTCTGCCACGAGAGGGCATAAGCAGCTTTGTGATATATTAAGAAAAGCGGAGGGAAGTGGGAAGAAGTTTCTTAGGGTGCTCCATGTGTGTAATACATTTCTCCTCCTGATATAGAACAGCTCAAAGGAATGCTTTTATTCTCCTTATTGCTTCCAGTGTGTCCAGATAGGAAATAAGCCTTGGATGATAAATGCTCAAGCTGACAGGGGGGTGGGTCCTGTCAGGTGTGATGTCCTTCCCCGGCAGCACACAAGTACAAAAGAACTAGCAAGTGATTTATTCTTGTCTTGCCAGGCAGAAGAGCTGAGGGATATGAATGGTGTTGTCATGCTTTTGTTCCTGCTAGCAGGAACAGGTGTGCTTCTCTCAGAACGCAGTCAGGGTTGCCCTTTTCTCTTGCAGTGTGCAATGGAAAGAATACAATATATCTGGTACAATATATCTGGTCTCCCTTTCAGATGTTGAGCTGCAAGCTGTAAGGACCAGCAAGTATTGCAGGTGTGCAAGTCCCAGATGCTTTTAATAAGATGTTTATGTAAAATCTTGTGTTACTGAAGACACATTTCCTGCAGTGTTTGTCCTGCTGTATCCCAAGAAAGATTTCTGTATTCTTGCAGTGAGCAATGTTTTACTATAGGAGACAGGAGGTTGTATTTCATGTTAGCATATGCACTGTTTTTTGGCTTTTTGGGGTTTTGTTTTGGTTTTTTGTTGGTTTTTGTTTGTTTTTTCCTGATGTGAATGTGTGAAGATAAGGATTATTTTTTACTGCCTTTCCTTTCAGAGTATTGAACAGGTATTGCTACCTTATTCTGTCATGGGGGCTTCGTTCAAGATGCTCTTAGTGTTTCCTCAGGGCAAACAGGCTTCACCTTTGTGAAGTAATGGTTGTATGTATGCTGCACTTGAACTGTGTGTGGGGTTTTACCTGCAAGACAAAAAATTAGCTTTCTACAGGATGTGGTTGGTTTTGGAAGCTCTAGATGGGATGCTTGAAAAAAAGGGATTTCCAAAAAATAACTCTTAAGCACTTATTAGAAATTTATTTCCTTATGATCCATCAAGTTAGGAC